ATAGAGCCAAAGATGTTAGAATTGTGTCGATGTCCCAATATTTCTGGACCTGACTGTAGAAAAGAAAAACTAGGATTATCTTGTCATCCGATGTTACTCCTTGTGTCCATTCAGATAAAAACAATTCATTTGAAATCTGAGTTTGCATGCAACCCCAAGGAACTTATTTGATCTCTTATTGCAAGTACCATTAAGAGTGATGCTAAAGAGGGTGGAATAATATGTATATCAACTCCTCTATCTTTTAAGCTGTGGATTCTCTGAGACATAGTTGTAATGAGGGGCAGAAACACCAACCTTGCCAAAATGGAATAAAAATGAAGATCATGCCTCAAAATAGTACTGAAAAAAGTTAGTAGAATGTGGAACACAAACAGAAAACTGCAATAATACAGTTTCCTAATAAGGAAATATCAGTATGAATTGAAGTTTTGTCACCATCTTCCAATGAATTTGATACTAAAAGGTGTGCTTTTAAAGACAGCTAAATACTCTATCACACTAATGTTTTGATTAAGATGAAACATTACTATAATATTTAATAGTATCTGAGTCTTGCTACCTTTTTGTCGATACTTCTGATGTCTTCACAAAGGTTTACAAAAGTATGTATGTCAGCTATTGATATCAGTTCAAATATTTTAAACTCAAAACCTTTTGTATACTTGTAATACAGAATAGGCCACTAGGGGTAAAGGGGTAGCAAACATTGTCACAACTTTTCAAAGAGTGAGCTTAGCTCAGATATTAAAGCATCTCCCACCATTTCCCCCCTCTGCATATTGCATAATGGTGCACTTATGGGTCAGGTGCTCCATGTAAAATCTGTTCTAACAACTGCTGGTCCATTATGTATGGTCAGTAGACTAATTTGTATATTCAGCTGGGTATGTTTCCCTCCCCCTACTCTTGTTTTAATTCAATATATTGGTAATTGCATAAGTGTCTTGGTCTCAGTAAGTAGAAGGCTAAGAATTGCCTAAAAATAAACAAATATTGCTGAAGAATTTGAGCCACTTCACACTAGATTGGACACCATAAGTCAGTGTTGTGTACAACTTTGTCCCTTTTTAAATTTGGTGAGGTTAAAATCCAAACACTCCCCACC